GCTCATTAAGCACTCAGCAGCTAACCAAAAGGTTGGTAGTTTGAACTCACCATTGGCTTCTGGGGAGAAAGACCTGGCGATATGCTCCCAAAAAGATTACAGCCTAGGAAACTCTATGGGCAAGTTCTACTCTGTCCTATAGGGTCTCTCTGAGTCAGAATCGACTCAATGGCACACAACAACAACACGTGGTAGTTCTATTTTTAGTTTTTGAGGCACCACCACACTGTTTTCCATAACGGCTGTGCCATTTTGCATTCCCACCAGCAATGGATAAGGGTTCCAATTTCCCCAAATCCTTGCCAACATTTGTTATTTTCTGGGTTTTTTTGTTTTGTTTTTGTTTTTATCCTAGTCATCCTACTGGGAGTAAGAATCCCTGGTAGTGCAGTGGTTAAGTGCTTGGTTGCTAACCGAAAGGTAGGCAGTTTGAACCTACCAGCCACCACTCCAGGGGAGAAAGATGTGGCAGTCTGCTCCTGTAAAGGTTAGAGCCTTGGAAATCCTATGGGGCAGTTCTACTCTGTTGTACAGGGTCACTATGAGTCGGAATCGACTCAACGGCAACAGTTTCGTTTTTTTTTCTTTCATTCAGGCATCAGCAAGATGACTGAAGATAAGCACAAAGCATATATGGCTAAGTGTCTCATATGAAGTAGTTAATGGGGTAGATATTGTCATTGTCACCAATTTGCAGGGGAAATAGAGGTTAATGAGGTCAAGTAACCTAGGTTGTCAAATTCCTGAGCCACTGTTACACTGACTCCTTGAGGGTAGATTTGAAAACATACTTAAGGTAGATAATTGAGGTAAAATAGGTCATTCAAATATCCTCTGGAATAAAATTCTGCCCACAAACCTAAGATGAAACTGATATTCTGCAATCATGGTAAAAAGTAGCCACCAGAACTGGTTTTAAACCCATGCAACAAAACAACTCACTTCAGGTTATATGATTTCTCAAGCCGATCAATGACAGCCCCTCCCTTCTGAAAGTCAACCAATCAGGAGAGACCCACTCCAATAAACCCGCCTCCGAGTGTCAACCAGATAACAAGTCTCCCCTCAGTGATCACGTTTCTACAGATGCTGCTAACCTAGTTTACACCCACAATGCTTGAAAGTCATGCTGCCCAAACTCTCTATATAACATCAGCAGTCTGCCCTGCTGGGAACACTGTGCTTGACCAGCATAGTTCTTCCTTACTATATACATTTAAAAAAAAAAAAAGTTGCCACCAAGTGGACTCCAACTCCTGACAACCTCCATGTGTGTCAAGTTAGAATTGTGCTCCATAGGGTTTTAAATGGCTGGTTTTTCAGAAATTGATCACCAGGACTTTCTTTTCAGGTGCTTCTGGGTGGACTCTAACTGCCAACTTTTTGGTTAGCAGCCAAATTCCTTAACCGTTTGCACCACCCAGAAACCCAGAAAACCAAACCCACTGCCATCAAGACTCACAGTGACCCTACAGAACAGAGTAGAACTGCCCCATAGGGTTTCCAAGGAGCAGCTGGTGGATTTGAACTGCCGACCTTTTGGTTAGCAGCCAAATGCTTAACCACTGTGTCACCAGGGCAACTCAATGGCAATAGGTTTTTACTACATATAGTAAGCAATAAATTCAGCTTTGTCTTTTTATTTCAGACTTTAAGTGATGGTCCCATTGTCCTTTGACACTCTAATCCTAAGTGAATTAATTAACATCTCAGGAGACCTCAAACTGTTTTACACAATCCCCTCCTCAGAGTAACCAGAAAAAGAGTTTCATGTGTAGTTTTAATTGTTTGACTACCATATTAAAGAATCAGCCTGTGTAGTGTGTGTATAAACAATATTGGTGATCCCAAATTATTTGACATGTATAATATTGTAGCAAGGTAATTTAATAACTGCTTGCTAAATAAAATAATATTCCATATGAAAGTACAAAAGGAGTCCTGGTGGCACAGTGGTTAAGTGCTCGGCTGTTAACCAAAAGGTTGGTGGTTCCAGCCCACCAGCCACTCTGCGGAGAAAGATGTGGCAGTCTGCTTCTGTAAAGATTTACAGCCTTGGAAACCCTATGGGGCAGTTCTACTCTGTCCTATAGGATCACTATAAGTCGGAATTGACTCAACAGCAAAGGGTTTGATTTTGGTTTATGAAAACACAGATACTTTGTAATAAAAAAATTTTAGAAAAAAGAAAATAGACACTTTGCACGATCAATATTTTTTAAATACCTGTATGCAATTCAAGTGCTCCTACAACAATAATAGGCTTCAACTCTTCAATCTCCTGTTCAAAAGTAGCATAGTGTAGAATTTCTGATCTGATTTCAGTCAGAGAGGGGTTGTTAGCCAAAAACTCCTGCAGTAGAGAAAGTTAATCAATGTATTCTTTAATTTTTTGATAGTATCAATCTTACACTTATACAGTAAAACCTGCAAAAGGCAGAACCTGTGTAAGGTAGAAACCTGTCAGAAAAGGAAAACTCAAATATTTTCTACTAAAACAAGTAATAGAAAAGTGGTAAGACTGCACCCTGTCAAGGGTGGAAAAACTGAGAGACCTGGAAAAACAAGGCAGTCCCCTGGAGTTCCAGCTCTCATAGGTTTCACTGTAATAGTTAAATTAGAAAATTTCATTTTTAAATACTTTTACTCTTGTGTGTGCTATCAGGCCAGAGACTCAGTAAAGAATGGAATGTCCTGGTAGTACTGGGAGAGGAGGCTATTCGAAGGAGTTTCATAGCCTGTTATGATCATTACTCAGAGCGCTGAAGTCTTCTTGAGTCTGTGACCAAAAAGACAGCTGTTAAGTGTGACTCAATGTAAGTGTGACTCATCCTTGTATACCTGGCCTCTGGGCAGTATCTGGCACATAGTCGGTACTCAATTGTTTAAGCAAACTTAATTAAATCTGTCTGAGCATCATTCTTATCAACTGCCTTAGAGCGTCAATGTAAGAATTACAGGATTACAGGAAATAATGCGCCAGGTGCTTGGTATTTATAGGTTCTCTTCTCATCAGTACCCATCATTATCACTGGTACTTTCTTGGTCCCCCCTGAAGAGTTAGATATAAACATTTGAAACACAAACTACATCACAGTCTTTTATTACTAGCTGCAATATACCTTCACTTTCACGTCTCGGTCTTCTGTCCAGAGAGTCTTGTACTTTTGAAAGTCCTGCAGGGCTTCGTGAGCCGCCTTTCGCAGAGAATTCACAGAGGATGAGAGGAGAAGGACCAACTTAGAAATATCCTTGTGCTCCGCTACCCCAGGGTAAAAGTTCTTCAGCTTCCTCGCAGGGATAATTTCTTCAAAAGATCCTGAAAATCGATGTTTTTCATACTATAAATAACTTATCTATTCAGCATTAAATACTATCAGTTTTAACATTTATAGATTTTTTTTAACTGTATTTTCTTAAAGACTCTCCCTCTTAGTAATTACGAGCTATTCTCTTGACATCTTTATTTATTAAACTATTGCGTTAGATTTTAAGATATAGGTTTTTTAATGCGGAAAACTTGTTATTCAGAGAGGAGATTAGCAAGACAATAATTAAAGAGCCAAAAAGTAAAATAAAGGGGAAGAAAAGTTCACCAAAGAAAAGTTACTAGTTGCCATTAATTCGACGCCAACTCATGACGACCCCATGTGTGTCAGAGTAGAACTGTGCTCCACGGGGTTTTCAGTGCTAATTTTTCAAAAGTAGATTACCAAGGCTTTCTTCCAAGGCACCTCTAGGTGACCTTGAACCCCCAATCTTCCAGTTAGCAGTTGAGCGCATTAACCATTTGCACCACCCAGGGATTCCAATGAAAAGTTAAAGAATTAAAATTGCTATTCCATGGAATAGCATAGTGGTTAAGGGTGAGAAGCACCATACAAATTACTCAAATGACCTTGTTGTTGTTAGTTGCCATTGAGTCAATTCCAGATGACCTTAGGCCAGTTATTTAATCTTTACAACTATACTGTGAGGATTAAAGGACACAACATATGTTCGTCCTCAGCTCAACATCTAGTATGTAGAGATCATCCAATAACTACAGCAAAACCTTCGAAAGCCGAAACGTGTGTAAGGTGGAAATCTGTTAAAGAAGGAAAACTCAAATATTTCCACTAAAACGAGTGATAGAAAAGTGGTAAGACTGCACTCTGTCAAAGGCAGAAAACTTACAAGACTCGGAAAAATAAGGCAATCCTATCAAGTTCCCGCTCTCACAGGTTTCACTGTATTAACCATTATTACAAACATCTCTTGCCAAAACACAAATCTGATCATGTCACTCCCTGATCAAAGACTCTCAAACATTTTCCATCAAGCAGAAACCACACAGATAATTGTTTTTGGCCAGTAGTGTGGTGGTTAAGCACTTGGCTGCTAACCAAAAGGCTGGGGGTTCAAACCCACCAGTTGCTCTTCGGGAGAAAGATGTGGCAGTCTGCTTCCATAAAGATTACAGCCTTGGAAACCCTATGGGGTAGTTCTACTCTGTTGTATAGGGTCACTATGAGTGGGAATCAACTCGACAGCAACAGGTCTGAGGGTTTTTTTGTATATAGCACTTAACTTCTTTAAAAGACAGTTGTTAACAATCAAAAATCACAGTATTTCACATGAAATTCCTGATTTCCAAATTCTCTTTTAAAATGGTATAATCTGGCAGTACTAATGTCCAGCAACAATTAGCTGAAGCTCAGTAGTGTCTTTACTGGGGACGTCCCTTGTTGGCCTCTAAGCCCAGGTCACTCATTTACATTAACCTCTAGGAATTTGAATTTCCAACACCTCAACTACAGGTTCAAGTCCAAACTCCTTAGCCTCAGAGTCTATTCCTCCTATCTGGAATTTGTTTTTCTCTATCCACCAAACCACAACTCATCTTTCAAGACCTATCCCAAATGTCACTTCTTGATTGTTCTCTTCTGTTTTCACCTCTGTGCTCAGGCAGCTTTGCAAGTGTCTCTGATGTACGACTTGGCACTGTACTGTAATTATGTTTCTATCAAGTCCTCTTCACTAGGAGCTCCTTGACAGCGAGGAACCACAGCCTTTTTTCTTTTTTTTTTTTTGTATCCTTCCCACGACCCAATTTCCAATACTTAAGATAGCTTTTATTACTCCATAGAATTTTGTTAATAGTGTTTTTGGTTTTGGTTTGGTGTTGAGAGAGCTCTTTTATTTTGTCATATATTTAACCAAATTTAAATTTAAAAAAAAAAAAAGTGTGAGCTTATTTTAAAGAACACTTTTAAAAATTCACCCTAAATCCTACTAACTTAACACAGAAACTATTTTATTTCCTCCACTTTTCTTCCAGAATATAAACACACTTTACTTAGTTCTAATCTGAACTCATATGTAATTTTGGGTTATGTTTTTAAAAAATATAAAATTATGCCATAAACTTGAGTTAGACTGAAAAAAAGCCCACTGCTGTCAAGTCAATTCTGACTCATAGCAACCCTGTAGGACAGAGTAGAACTGCCCCATAGGGTTTCCAAGGTTGTAATCTTTACAGAAGCAGACTGCCAAGCTCTTTAACCACCGTACCACCAGGGCTCTTTGAGTTAGGCTACAGCTGCGATAATGATTCTTTTAATGGCTACACAACACTCCACCTAGTGGCCCGTCGTCGAATCTGGCAGAAAGGTAAAGGAGAATAAGGGTATAAAGTCATCTTGGCTTCAGTTCCTATCATACTGCCAACCCCAAAAAACAATAAAAAACCCATTGCTGTCGAGTCGATTCCTACTCATAACGGCCCTAAAGGACAGAGTAGAACTGTCCCGTATGGTTTCCAAGGAGCTCCTGGTGGATTCGAACTGCCGACTTTTGGTTGGCAGCCATGGTAGCTCTTAACCACCACTATCACCAGGGTTCAGAGAGTGACCAAAAACACGTAATTCATATTCAGATTTTAAGGGAAATTAGAAGCCCAACTTAGGAAAATATTCAAGAACCCAGAGTCCTGGGGAGTATCTGAATAAGGGGTTGGCAAGGAAAAAAGGTGAGTGAAACAAAGAATGTGTAAGAACCCAGAAGAAATGGTACAGGTAGGGTGCAAGGCCAGGCCATCTGTCAGGCCTTCTGCCTTGGCCCTGGACCCCACATCACACACACGTGAGCCTCTGCTGGGTTTCAAGTGCCTGCACACCAAACTGGAATCCAGCAACGTGCCTCCTAGATCTCTTCTCAGTTACGGTGGGTTTGGGTGGTCTTTTTTTTTTTTTCTTTTTGTTTCATTTTAAAGGCTTCCGGAATTACAGAATATTTGAAACAAAAAAAGTTCAGAGAATAACAAATAAATTCTCATGCATCCTCCCAAAATTATCAATTCCTAGCTGTTGGGTACACATTTGCTTTAGGTTTCTTTTTTGTTTTTTGATGTAACACCTTTATTGAGATATCTTTCACATACCATATAATTTACCTTTTTTAAGTGTAAAGTTCAACAGTTTTAGTATAATCACTGGGAGTCCCTGGGTGACGCAAATGGTTAAGCACTCAACTACTAGCTGAAAGGTTAGCAGTTCAAACGCACCCAGAGGCGCCTTGGAAGAGAGGCCTGGTGATCTACTTCCAAAACGTCACAACCTTGAAAACCCTATGGAGCACAGTTCTACTCTGTACACATGGGGTCGCCATGAGTCAGAATCAATTCAATGGCAACTAACAACAACAATTACAGTATAATCACAGAATTGCACAAATATCACCACTATCTAATTTTAGAACATTTACATCCCAATAAGAAAATCCCGGTAATACACATAGCTCAACCATGTATAACAAGACTAAATGGGCACACCAGACCAGGGGCAAGGACGAGAAGGCAGGAGGGCACAGGAAAGATGGACGAATGGAAATGGGAAACCCAAAGTCAAGAAGCGGAGAGTGCTGACATATCGAGGAGTTGGCAACCAATGTTACAAAGCAATATGTGTATTAATTGTTTAATGAGAAGCTAATGTGCTCTATAAAGCTTCACCTAAAGCATAATAAAAAAAAAATTTTTAAAAAGAAACCCCACATCCATTAGCAAATCTGCTGCAAAAGACCTCTTTAAGGTATTAAAAAGCAAATATGTCACTTCAAGGACTAAGGTGTGCCTGACTCTAGCCTTGGTGTTTTCAATTGCCTCATATGCATACAAAAGCTGGACAATGAATAAGGAAGATCGAAGAACTAATGCCTTTGAATTATGGTGTTGGAAAAGAATATTGAATATACCTTGGACTGTCAGAAGAACAAACAAATCTATCTTGGCAGAACAGCCAGAATGCTCTTTAGAAGCAAGGATGGCGAGACTTTGTCTCACATACTTTGGAAATACCAGGAGGGACCAGTCCCTGAAGAAGGACATCATGCTTGGTAAAGTACAGGGTAGGCCAAAAAGAGGAGGACCGTCAGCGAGATGGACTGACACAGTGGCTGCAACAATGGGCTCAGGCTTAACAATAATTGTGAGGATGGTGCAGGACTGGGCAGTGTTTAGTTCAGTTGTACATAGGGTCGCTATGAGTCAGAACCAACTCAGCGGTACCTAACAACAACAACATCCATCAGCAGTCACTCTCTATTTTCCCCTTTCTGTAGCCCCTGACAGTCACTAATTTACTTTATGTTTCTATAGATTTACTTTTTCTGGATATTTCATATAAATGGAATCATATAACATGTGCTCCTATGTGACTGGCTTCTTTGACTTAGCATAACGTTTTCAAGGTTCATCCGTGTTGTTATGTATATCTGTACCTCATTCATTTTTATGGTCAGATAATGTTCCACTGCATGGCTATACTACATTTTGTTTATCCATTCATCAGCTGATGGATGCTTGAGTCTTTCCCACTTTTTGGCTATTATGAATAACATTGCTATTAATACAAGTGTACCAGTTTTTATATGGACATACACGTTTTCATTTCTCTTGGGTATATACCTAGGAGTGGAATTGCTAGATTATATGGTAACGCTATGTTTAACATTTTGAAGAACTGCCAAACTGTTTTCCAAAGCAGCTATACCATTTTATATTCATATCAGAAATGTATGAGGGTTCTAAATTCTCCACATCCTCTCCAACACTTGTTATCATCTTTTTTAACTTAGCTATCCTAGTCAGTGTGAAGCAGTATCTCATTGTGGTTTTGGTTTGGATATCCATAATGTCTAATGATATTAAGCATCATTTCTTGTGCTCATTGGCCATTTGTATTAACTTGTCTAGAGAAATTTCTATTCATATTCTTTTCCCATTTTTGAATTCTCTTTTACTTATGAGTTATAAGAATTCTCTTTATATATCTGGATACAAGTCCCTTATCAAACATTTGCAAATATTTTCTTTTATTCTGTGGATTTTTTTCACTCCCTTGATGGTATCCTTTGAAGACAAAAGGTTTTAATTTTGATGAAGTCCAATTTATCTGTTTTTTCTTTTGTCACTTGTGTTTTTGGCATCATATCTAGGAAACCACTGGCTAGTCCAGAGTCATGAAGATTTACTCCTATGTTTTCTTTTAAGAGTTTTATAATTTCACCTCTTACATTTAGGTCTCTGATACATTTTGAAAAGATTTTTGTATATGGTGTGAGGTAGACATTCAACTTCATTTTTAGCTTGTGGAAATCCAATTGTCCCAGTGCCATTTGTTGAAAGACTATCCTTTCACCAATGAATTGTCTTGGCACCCTTCTTCAAAGTCAATTGACTATAAATGTAAGGGTTTATTTCTAGACTCTCAATTCTATTTTGTTGATCTATATGTATATCCTTATGCCAGTACCACACTGTCTTGTATTATTGTAACTTTGTAAAAAGTTTTAAAATCTGGAAGTTTGAGTCCACAACTTGTTCACCCACTTCAAGATTGTTTTGGCTATTCTGGGTTCCTTGCTTTTCTACATGAATTTTAGAATCAGTTTATGAATATCTGCAAAAAAGGCAGCTGGGATTTTGATAGGGATTGTGATGAATCTGTAGATTAATTTTGGAAGTAAGACATTTTACCAATATTAATTCTTCTGATTCATGAGCATGGGGTATCTTTCCATTTTATACCTTCTTTAATTTCTTTCAATAATGTTTTGTGTTTCCAGTACATAAGTCTTGTGCTTCTTTGGTTAAATTTACTGCTAAATATTTTATTCATTTTGATGTTACTATGAAAGAAATTATACTCATAATTTAATTTTCAGATTGTTCATTGCTAGTAAATAGAAATACAATTACATTTTTGTATCCTATATGCTTACATTCTACAAATATGCTGAATTTATCAGTTCTAATAGTTTTTTGTGGGTTTTTAAGAATTTTCTATATACAAGATCATGTCACCTCAACTAGATGGTGCCTGGCTACCACCACCAACTGCTCTGACAGGGATCACAATAGAGGGTTCCAGACAGAGCTGGAGTAAAGCGTAGAACAAAATTCTAACTCACACAAAAAAAAAGACCAGACTTACTGGTCTGACAGAGGCTGGAGAAACCCCAAGAGTATGGCCCCCAACACCCTTATAGCTCAGTAATGAAGTCATTCCTGAGGTTCACCATTCCATCAAATATTAGACAGGCCCACAAAACAAAATGAGACTAAAGGGGCACACCAGCCCAGGGGCAAGGACAAGAAGGCAGGAGGGGACAGGAAAGCTGGTAATGGGAACTCAAGGTCAAGAAGGGGAAAGTGTTGACATGTCATGGGGTTGGCAACCAGTGTCACAAAACAATATGTATATTGACTGTTTAATGAGAAACTAGTTTGCTCTGTTAACTTTCATCTAAAGTACAATTAAAAAAAAAAAAAGATTATGTCACCTGAAAATAGAGATAGTTTTACTTACTCCTCTCCAGTCTGGATACTTTTTACTTATTTTTCTCACCTAATTTCCCTGGCTAGCCTTCAATACAGTGTTGAGCAGAAGTGGTGAGAGTGGACACTCTTGTCTTGTTCCCTATCTTAGAAGGAAAGCATTCAGTCTTTTACCATTAAATATGATGTTACTTGTGGGTTTTTCTTTTTTTTGAGGGGGAGATGACTTTTATCAGGTTGAGGAAATTTCCTTCTATTCCTCATTTTTTGAGAAGGTGTTATGTTTTGTGAAGTGCTTTTTATGTATCTGTTGAAATTACCATGTGGTTTTTGTCCTTTACTCTATTAATATGGTATACTGCATTAGTGGATTTTTGGGTATTAAACTAACCTTGCATTCCTTGGATAAACAGAACTTAGTCAAGGTGTATAATCCATTTTTTATGTTGTGGATTCAGTTTGATAGAATTTTGTTGAAAATATTTACATCTATATTCATATGAAATATTAATCTGTAGTTTTCTTTTCTTGTGATGTCTTTGCCTGGTTTTGATACCAAGGTAATACTAGCCTCATAGAATGAGTTGGGAAGTATTCCTTTCTCTTCTATTTTTTTGGAAGAGTTAATGCGAATTTAGAAATCACCAGTGAAGCCATCTGGGCCTCACCTTTACTTTGTAGAAAGTTTTTAAATTACTAATTGAGTCTCTTTACTTGTTCTCAGTGTTATAATCACCTCCTATTCACCCCATTGTGAGGGAAGGATTCCTGCTCTAGAGTTATGGGGATACCTGAACACACAGTGCTCCACATTTGACTAATGAGATGGACAGAAGTTTATTAGTCACATGTACTCACAGCCTGGGGGAGGAGGACACCACAGGCCATGCAGGGCTAGATGGAAGTTGCATTCAGGAACAGAGTGAACAATCAGGGGCTGTGGGAGGCAGGCTTTATAGTATCAAGAGGATGGGTGCCCCTAGGTTCTCATGGGAGGATGTGACTGGCTTGTTTGAATAATTCCACGGGCTGGCAGGGAACTGAAACCTGCTACTCAAGGATAAGCAGGAGCTGTACCTGGTCTGTTTGGCAGGGAGGGTTATCTGGTCAGGGGACCTTATCCACGGGAGCATAATGAGGAAGGAAACTTGCAGTTAGGCCATTTAAGACCCTCCTGATTTTACCAAATGTCAAGGCAGCACATAATATTAAGCCTTAATTTTAGACCTTACACCAAAATAGGAGCAGGTGGCCTCTCCTGTCCTCAGTCCCTTGCCAGATGCCATGGTGCTGGGGGAGGTTGGGCACCTCTCACCCAGACCCCTTCACTACTGGAAAGCCACTTGGGATCAACTGAGTGAACAGCACTAGGAGTTTGTACATTTTACAGAGGGCAGGACTAAGATTTATCATCCTCCATTAGCTGGTTGTAGGGAACACTCCACGAGGCCACAGATGTGAGCTGAGAGAACAGTGTTGATGCAACATAGGTGACATGGGCATCTGGGCCATCTGTTCATGTAAGTTACATAATATCTTGTTTTTAATTTACATTTCCCTGGTTACCAGTGCTGTCATATTCATAATTACTTAAGGGAATAGCTTTTGTATTCTTTATGTACAAAGAACACATGGCCTAAATCTTATAACCACTATCTTCTGGCAAACTCAGTTTATCAGACCAAATACATCTAAAACTGGAATTAATACTAAGGCTTATTTAATTTTTAACTTTGGATTTAGGATGATGCTAGAACAGCACTAAAATCCTTGTGCACTCATGGCCAAGAGCTGGAAAGACATGTCCGCTTGTTTATATTTAAGGTGAAAGATGGATAACACTACTTTTTTGTTTAAATGCAAAATTTAACAAGTAAACATACATAAAAATTACCTGTAAAATCTATATGCCGTCAAACTCAGGAATAAACCCAAAGACCATTTACTAATTGTTACCATTCTAAGATTCTATTCATCTGAGATTTGTTTTAACATTCTTACTCTCTTCCTTCTTGATCTGTTTTCCCGTGCTTGGATGGGTCACGTCAGTAGTGGTACGGCTGGGGCTGACAATTGCAGACTTAATGTGTCGGATCTGCTGTTGTCCCCAGTGAGCCACTCCTCTGCTGACCTCCAGGGTTAACTGGATCATACGGTTAATGGCCTGCTGAATGTCATCCAAACTAGGAACCATTACCTGTGGAAAGAAGAAACAAGTTCATAGTACTGTCAGTACATACAATCCACCTCTCTGATTCCTGCCACCCCACCTCCCACTGAGTAGGGAAAGCCTCATCCGGCCCAGTGGAAGGCTACTTTGAGAAGGAGAACGTTAGAGGGTAAGCTACAGACTTTCTCTACTGTTATGGAGTGAATTGTGCCGCCCCCCCAAAAAAATTATGTGTTGAAATCCTAGCCCCATCCTATAATAAGGAGCCCTGGTGGCACAGTGGTTAAGCATTCAGCTGCTAACCAAAAGGTCAGCAGTTCAAACCCACCAGCCGTTCCTTGGGAGAAAGATGTGACAGTCTGTTTCCATAAAGATTACAGCCTTGGAAAGCCTATGGGGCAGTTCTGCTCTGTCCTACAGAGTTACTATGAGTTGGAATTGACTCGAGGGTAGTGGGGTTTGGTTGTTTTGTTTTTTGGTATCTATAATATGACCCGATTGGGAAATCAGGGTTTTCTTTTTTTATGTTAATAAGGTCATACCAGAGTAGGGTGGATCCTAAATCTAATCATTTCTGAGTCATTAAAAGAATAGAGTAGACACAGAGACACGCACCAGGGAAGACAGACATCAAGAAACACCACGGGACACCAAAACGCCAAGGAACTCACAGAGCTACTAACAAGGAAGGACCTCCTCCTAAAGCCACATCCTGAATTTGAACTTCTAGCCTCCTGAACTGTGAGAAGATAAATTTTTGTTCTTTAAAGCCACTCACTTGTGGTATTTCTGTTATGGCAGCACTAGGTAACTAAGACATCTACCCTGAGGTTTTCCCATTCAATCAATTCCAACAGGTAGAAAGGTCAAACTCAGTACTTATCACCTCACCCCTATTGAGGGTGGTTGGATGCAGTAGAAAATTGTGGACTATGTACTGGACGTCCATGGAGCAAAATAACTGAAGAAATTATACCATCAAGATGTTGACATTGGTTCTTTGAAATATGCCAAATAAGCTAAGAAACTATCCTCCAGGAGGTCAAACAGTGTAGACATGGTGCTAGGTGAGGCATAGATCTATCATTCTTGCCTGGCCTTATCCTCCTTAGCCCATCACAGAATACACCTCAGTCATCCTGTGTGGCTTGGAGTTTCAGATGCCAGTAAGCAGCTGGGGTAGTGGTAGTAGAGATACGTGCCATAGGAAGACACAGGGGATCCATGATGCTCAGGACATAAGTGACTTCTATCTTTCTACCTTACCTCACAGTTAGAGTAGGCATTTGGGCCTCTGAGATGGTTTTATTTAAATAACTTAATGTCTGAATTAATAAAAAACTACAAGATTTGTAGGATACTTGCTAACCGACAGCAGAACAAACACCTGATTCAACTCTTACACCGACCTTCACCATGAGCTATCCGGAAGTAATTTTTTATAACAGATGTAAATGATAACATTTTGATTTTTGTTAAATACTGAGGTGAAGTTCAAAATATAACAAGAGGTTATTCTAAATGATAGTTCAGTTCTAATGCTTCTGATACTTCTTAATTACATTACCAAGATATCATTGTACTAACTTGAATATTTAATAATACTTACCACATTAGGAATTGCAAGATGTACTTCAGCTTTTATAAAGGAAATAATATCTTCTGACCACTTTCGTCCATAAGGGCTGTAATAAGATGGACATTTAGCTGATAAACTTTAACCTAAAGTGTCTTAAATAACTTGTCATGCTACAAGTATCAATCCCAAAAATAAGGACCATTTTATAAAATATCGAATTACATAAAGGAGATATTATTTATAATAGAACCATAAGGTTTATAGAACTAAGAAAACACAATAAATTTAATATTCTTAGAAATAAAATGTTAGTTTCAAATACGTTTTCTGGCATTTTCATGTTTCCCTCAGTAATAATCATTTAACAATATTTTTAATAAAGGTATTCTTTGTTCAGAGCCTGATGGCACAGTGGTTAAGAGCTCAGCTGCTAACCAACAGGTCAGCAGTTCGAATCCACCATCCACTCTTTGGAGACCCTATGGGGCAGCACTACTCTGTCCTATAGGGGTTGCTATGAGTCAAAATTGACTTGACGGCAACAGGTTTGGTTTTGATTGTTATTCTTTCCTCCATACATATAAATATATGGACATTATACAGGAGTTTTCTGGTCAAAACCTTCCAAAAACTTTTTTTTTTAATTAATATTATCACTGATGCACAGCTGGAAGCACAAACACACACACAGACACACAAACACAGACACACACACACACACACACACAAGTGCAAGGAATGAAGGATGCAAATGAAGGATACCTTGACCTCCATCCCTATCCCAGACAAAATTATAATAAATTTAAACTTTCTGTTCTCTTTTTCTCTGCGAGTGCAAGAAGCGTTACAATTATTGAAAAACTACACCTTTATTTTTAAGTACAAGTAGACAGGGAAAAAAGTCACAAGAAATCTAAAGACTCCACAGTTCAAAAGCGAGGACCCAACTTCAACACTCAGGGCCAATGGTTCCCAGCTAAACATATTATTGTAAGGACACTTTGAACTAAAAGCAAGCAAACAAACAAACAAAAAAGGCTCTAATTCATAGTTTTGCTATGAAATTCAAGATACAGCAATAAAATATGCACGAACTGTAGTAAAAATGGAGTAATCTGAGACTAAGGAGGCACTAGGTTGTGCAAACGTTATGGTGCAGTGAATTACTTTATATGGCCCTTCGAGCCATGGTCTGGTAACCCCACAAAATGAGTAGGTAGAAATATGCAAATAAGGTGCTTGTGGCCCACCAAGTGTATTGGACAGTCTACTAATAACACAAATAAGGTGCATGGAACACTTCTCAGGGTGGATCCATGCAAATAAGGTACATGGAACCCTTGCAGGGGATTGGTCAGTTTTGCCATCCCACGAGGTTTAAAAAAAGCCAATCCCAGAGGAGGACTTCACTACCCTCAAGAAGAAGAGTCAGGAGTGGAGCGCATCCTTTGGATCCAAGGTCCCTGCACTGAGAGCCTCCTAGACCCAGAAGACAGAGAGAACTGTAACACCTGAGCCAGCACGAGACAGTGAAAAGCGTCAGGAAGCAAGGCAGGGTCCAGTGGCAGAGAAACAGTAGCAGTAGAACCAGGAGACAAGCACAAGACTGCATGATGGGCTTTCTAGCCCACAGAGTGAGGTGGCTACAGTGGGCATGCCGACCCACGAAGCAAGAGAGCTGAGTGCCTTTGGGGAGGAGGCTTGTGAGAGAAGTGGGGTGCCTCCAGGCACTTATTAGTGGAGCTAAAGAGCTTTGTAACACCTGCCCGAGCAGGGCAGAGGCCACGGCCAAACAGAGGCAGAGGCCGAGAGTACAAGCCCAGGCCAAGAGTGCAGGTCCTGGTGGCAGCAACCAAAAAAAGTTTTCCTGATCAAAGAACTGTATTTTGAGTTGTTCCTATTACCTCCAAATTGATCCTGATCCTGAACTGTAACCTGTTATTTCCCTATTAAATCCCATAACTGTGAGCATGGCCTGGGAGTTCTGTGTGGCCAGTGCAGCAAATTAATGAACACAACAGAGAAGTAGAGAGTGCCATGGGAGGACGGCTGGTGTCAGAATTGGGAAAAAGGTTGGAGACTGCAGGTATGTCTGACCTCCATTTGATGGGAATCAGCCTTGGGCTGCTGCTGACTCCCCCCTCTGACACCACACTGCCATTTTTACAACATTTAACTTGCCTGCTAACCAAAAGGTTAGAGGGTCAAGTCCACCCAGAGGTGTCTCAGAAGAAAAGGCCTGGTGATCTACTTTCCAAAACTCAGTTATTAAAAACCCTATGGAGCACAGTTCTACTCTAACACATATGTGGTTGCCATGAGTCGGAGCTGACTCTACAGCCACTGGCTTGTTTTTTGTTTTTAATCTGAGAATAAGCAAGACTTTTATGAAGTAAAAATAAAACAGCTGAACTATAGCAGAGACGGTGAACAGCACATAAGATAATTCAGTAACTTATTTAGTAAGCCAGAGAATCGGTTTAAGAAATTCTCTAAAGCATCAGATAAAAATACAAAGAGATAGCAACCACTTTAAGAAAAGATAAGATACATAAAGGTTAACATTTACTGAATGCTTAATGTATCTCAGTCACTGCTCAAAGCACTTTCTATGAACTAACGCATTTAGTCCTCACATTAACTCTGTGAGGCAGGTCTTGTGATTATTATTTCTGTTTTGAAAATGAGAAAACCAAGGCACAGAGAGGTTAAGTAAATACACAGGGTCACTCAGCTCATACATGCAGAGCATGGACCCTGTATAACCCAAACCCACTGTCCTTCTAGTCGATTCCTAGTTATAGCACTATAGGACAGAGTAGAACTGCCCCATAGGGCTTCCAAAGCTATAAGTCTTTACATAAGCAGACTGCCACATCTTTCTCCCTCGGAGTGGCTGATGGGTTCGAACTGCCTTCCTTTCAGTTATCAGCCAAGCACTTAACACAAATGCACCACCAGGCCTCCTTGTGGACCTTATATAGATATGGTAATTAAAGAATAACACTTCCCTAACCTTAAAACCTAGCCTCATTTCTTCAGTTTGGAAAGCTTCTCTATGTGTCAGACAGGAGTAATGAAAAAAACGACCTACACCTAAACATATAATCTGTGAATTTCCATAATAAAGGGGAAATCCTCGAAGTATCCAAACAAGTTGTTACTTAGAACGGAAAATCTAATTAGTGACAGAACTCTCATCTGAAAATCAAAACAAAAGAAGTCAATAGAGCAGCATTTATAGTGTGAGGGGAAAACGTTGTGATCCAAGCCAACCAAACTAGCATTCATGTGTGAGGGTAAAAGAAAGACATTTTTAGACAAGCAAGGACTTTGAAGTATTATATTTACACTTCTTCACAAAGAAAGCAAAATTCCTCACAACTGGACAAATAAGCAACATCATGATAAACGGAGAAAAAATTGAAGTTGTCAAGGATTTCATTTTACTTGGATCCACAATCAACGCCCATGGAAGCAGCAGTCAAGAAATCAAACGACCTATTGCATTAGGCAAATCTGCTACAAAAGACCTCTTTAAAGTGTTAAAAGCAAAGATGTCACTTAGAGGATGTCATGGTCTGAATTATGTCCCCCAAAAAATGTGTGTATCAATTTGGCTGGGCCGTGATTCCCAGACTTGTGTGGTTGGTCTCCATTTTCTGATTCTAATTTTATGTTAAAGAGGATTAGGATGGGATTGTAACACCACCCTTACCCAGGTCACATCCCTGATCCAATGTAAAAGGAGTTTCCCTAGTGTGTGGCCTGCACCACCTTTTACCTTACATGAAATAAAAGGAAAGGGAAGCAAGCAGAGAATTGGGGACCTCATACCATCAAGAAAGCAGTGCTGGGAGCAGAGCATGTCCTTTGGACTGGGGTCGCTGTGTGGAGAAGCTCCTAGTCCGGGGGAACACTGATAAGAAGGCCGACAAAGAGAGAAAGCCTTCCCCTGGAGCTGATGCCCTGAATTTGGACTTCTAGCCTACTTTACTGTGAGGAAATAAACTTCTCTTTGTTAAAGCCATCCACTCGTGGTATTTCTGTTATAGCAGCACTAGATGACTAAGACAGAGGACTAAGGTGCACCTGACCTAAGCCATGGTATTTTCAACCACCTCATACGCATGCAAAAGCTGGACAATGAATAAGGAAGACCAAAGAAAAACTGATGCATTTGAATTATGATGTTGAAGAAGAATACTGAATATACCATGGACTGCCAGAAGAAGGAACAAGTCTGTCTTGGAAGAAGTACAGCCAGAGTGCTCCTCAGAAGAGAGGATGATGAGACTTCCTCTTATGTACTTTGGAAATGTTATCAGGAGGGACCACCAGTTCTGGAGGAAGACATCCTGCTTGGTAAAGTAGATGGTCAGTAAAAAAGAGGAAGACCCTCAACAGGATGGATTGCCATAGTGGCTGTAACAATGGGCTCAAACATAGCAACAACTGTGAGGATGCTGCAGGACCAGGCAGTATTTTGTTCTATCGTACGTAGGGTCACTATGAGTCGGAACCGATTCAACAGCACCTAACAACAACAATATGCTTCTTCAAAAATTACTTAGATTTACACAATACTGGGGAAACCAGTACAACTTGACCAAGGCAAGGTCATGGAAGCTCCACAGACACTTCCAAACTCCCTGAAGGACCAAATTACTGGGCTGAAGGCTCTGGGGACCATGGTCTCAGGGAACATCTAGCTCAAGTGGCATAACACAGTTTATAAAGAAAATGTTCTACGTTCTACTTTGGTGAGTAGTATTTGGCGTCATAAAAGCTTGTGAGCGGCCGTGTAAGATACTCCACTGGTCTCACCCCATCTGGAGCAAGGAAGAAAGAAAACCAAAGACACAAGGGAAATATTAGTCCAGAGGACTAATGGACCATAACTACCACAGCCTCCACCAGACTGAGTCCAGCACAACTAGATGGTGCCCGGCTACCACCACCGACTGTACTGACGGATCACAATAGAGGGTCCCAGACAGAGCTGAAGAAAAATGTAGAACACAATTCTAACTCACCAAAAAAAAAGAAAAAAGAAGACCAGACTTACTGGTCTGACAGAGATTGGAGAAACCCCGAGAGTATGGC